AGCAGCTGCTGCTGCAGCAGCAGCATGAAGGCGAGTATAACTATAATTATAATGTTAATTATGCCTATCAACACAACCAGCAGCAGCAGCAGCATCTGCTGCTGCAGCAGCAGCAGCAGCAGCAGCAGCAGCAGCAGCAGCAGCAGGATGAGGAGGATGAGGGTGTGTATGGGTATTGGTATAGGTCTCCTTATATGAAGACAAAGGAGACAGCATATGATAGATTTCTGCTGCTGTGCATGCAGCAGCAAGGTGTTTTATATGAAAGTGAGTTTATGTGTATTTCTTGTGTTGTGGGTGTAAACAGCAGCAGCAGCAACAAAAAATTATATGCATCTATAGAGCTGCGATATGCTGCTGGCAGCAGCACGCTCAAAGCAGCAGCAGCAGCAGCAGCAGCAGCAGCAGGAGCAGCAGGAACAGCAGCAGCATCAAATACACCAGCAGCAGCAGCAGCAGCAGCAGCAACAACTGGGTTTCATTCTATAAGCAGCAGAATAGATAACAAAGAGACAGATGCAGTGTACGTGTCTCTGTCTCCTATAGTAAAAGCCCCCCCATCAGCAGCAGATGCATGCAACAGCAGCAGCAGCAGCAGCAGCAGCAGCAGCAGCAGCAGTCCTTGTCTGCTACAAACAGTGGTTNTGTCTCTTCCTTGTGTATTATCTCTCTTTATAAAGCCTTTATATTTGTCTCCTGCTGCTGCTCTGCAGCTGTGGTTTGGTGGTTGTCTCTTTTCTCGTTTTACTTCCATTAAACTGTCTCCATCTGTCTCCTCTGCTGCTGCTGCTGCTGCTGCTGCTGCTGCTGCTGCTGCTGCTGCTGCTGGGCTCTCCTATATAGAATATATTTTATCTATAGGGGGGAAACTTAATATTATAAAAGGCATAAAACACAGAGTAGCAGCAAACTCTATCTTTGCTGCTGGTGAGCTAGCAGCAATAGGAGACATGCAGCAGGATTGTAAGGTTATGTTGCGCTTTACTTCTCCTGCTGCTGCTGCTCCTGCTGCTGCTCCTGCTGCAGCAAATGCTGCTGCTGCTGCTGCTGCTAAAATACAAGTCAAAGCACAAGACCCCAGAGTTGCTGCTAGTCTATACGAGCTTCTCGTCTATCTGCTAGAGGGAGTTGATTGAAATATCACCAAGCTGCTGCTGCTGCTGCTGCTGCTGCTGCTGCTGCTGCTGCNGCAGCAGCAGCAGCAGCAGCAGCTAATGCGGGAGCAGCAAGGTTGCAGCAGATTTGCAGCAATCGATAAAAAAAGAGAAAGGAAGGGTGCAGCAGCAGCAGATGCAGCAGCAGATGCAGCAGCGCATGCAGCAGCAGCAGCATGAGCAGCTGCAGCAGCAGCAGCAGATGCAGCAGCAGCAGCATGAGCAGCAGAAGCAGCAGCAGCAGCAGCAGATGCAGCAGCAGCAGCAGCAGCAGATGCAGCAGCATGAGCAGCTGCAGCAGCAGCATGAGCAGCTGCAGCAGCAGCATGAGCAGCTGCAGCAGCAGCAGCACATGCAGCAGCAGCAGCAGATGCAGCAGATGCAGCAGCAGCAGCAACAACAAATTTTGTTTTGTTCGGCTATATACAGCCTCTCTGTGGATTTGTTTTTTGTTTTATTTTTATTTATTTTATTAAAAAGAAAAATATAAATAAAATAAAAAATAAATAAAAAATATACAAATAAAAATAGTATAAATACAATAATAAATAAAATAAACAAAAATTATATCAATACCATAAAACAAGCAAACAACGCATATATATATATATATATATATATATATATATA